TTTCCAAGAAATAAAAACAATAACTGACACATCTTTTAAGTTTGCCGCTGAAGGAAAGGCAGTTGAAGTTGTAACCGAAATGTCAGAAAATATGCAACTTTATCCACCTGAGGATTACATTACAGGATCTAATCTGTTGTTTGATTATGATCCTGAATCTATTGAAATGGTACTAAATTGCTTAACACCAGATAAAATGAATATTAGTGTTCTGTGTAATAAGAATAACTTACAACCTGGGCTAAATTTTGATAAAACTGAAAAGTGGTTTGGTACCAAATATTCAAAACAAGGTTAGCAAATCGAGGCTTTAGACGTGTGTTGGGACAAATATTAATTGTTTTTAAAAAAATATTATTTAGTGTTTTTGGGAGTGGTACAGCACTTTTTTATTATTAAAAACGACAACATAATGAATTTATTATTACATATTTGTTATAGATATTCCCGAACAGTGGTTAAAAAAGTGGCAAGAAGCTTCACCTCTTAGGGAATTTGCTTTACCTTCATCAAATATTTTTTTAACAGAAGACTTTACTATTCTTCAAGAAGATGAACAGCACCCAAAGTATCCTGAAAAGATTCTAAGCACAGATTTGGTGGAATTATGGTATAGAAAAGACCAAAAATTCAAACTGCCCATTGCTTACTATAATTTTTATTTTATCAACCCAGTGGCTATCCAAACGCCAAAATCGTAAGTTATTCTTTATTTATCACATATCTAAATTAATAATAAGTTAAATTTTTCAATATTACGATTGCTTAAGTACAGTATATCGTGCGCTTAAAAATACAACGAACGAAAGTTGGCTGTAGGTAAAGCTAACTGCATGGGTGGGACAAATCTTGTTCTTTTGAACTATGACAAAAAGCGATCATTAAAGGTTATGTTGACACTGATTTATGTAAAGTTGAGGGCAGTAGTACCATTTAAAGTGGATAAGCAACGCCAAGTCAAATCATTATTTTCGATCCGCGAATAAACGCTGATTTAAGATCTTCAGTACTCTGTTAATTTTTCTTCGATGATATGAGTATGACATTACTGTAGTAAACTATAATAGGCATATTGCTAACATTTTAGGGCAGCGTTGTTGGACATATATATGAACCTATTGGATATTTTGCTGAGTGAAGAAGGTTATCCTGCAGAAGTAGCCCATTTATCTTATACATTTGATGCCTACGACAAAGGACTTACAATGGGAGTAGCAGGGTACAACCAGAAGCTTCATGTAAGATGATTTTTTAAGACATCTGTAAGCCTCACATATTGTACGTAATTACTACTTTTTTAAAAACTATAATTTTTAAAAATAAAATTGATCTGCCCAAGATATGCAGAAATACAGATGTACCTACAGATAGCTTCCTTCAAATAATATAAAAAATTAAGCTAATTTATTATATGGCATTAAATTTTGCAATAGCGCACTTTAACTTTTGTCTTTAGTTTTGGCTTAATGCTTGTGCAACATTTAATACCTATATCGTTTATATTTCCTGTGCTAATTCTATTAAGACTGGAATTTTTCGAATGTGCTGAATTTTTTCCGATGATGGATGTTTTTGAATGTAAATATTTTGTAGGTGTTAATTGAAATGATTACGAAGCATTTTTTAAACTTCGGTGATATTTTGACGCAAGAAATGTTCGACGCCATGAAAGATAAACTGATTAAAGGCTACTATAACTACCTACTGGACCCCAGTGACTTAGCAGAGTAAGTGTGAAGCTTGTCTAGATTCCATTTTATGCATAGTTTTGTGCAGGGAGCTGAGATTGTACATACTCATAGATAACTATAAAACTTCGTTGGAAAAATATATGGTTGCATCTTCTATTACAATGGAAGATGTAAAAGCATTTTCACGTGAATTTGTAAACAACTTGTTTATTAAAGTTTTGGTACAGGGAAATGTTGCAAGAGACCACGCAAATAATGTAGTAAACAATCTTATTACGACACTGAAATGTCAACCATTACCTCCTGATACATATCCAAATGTAAATGTTTTCCTTTTTGTTTTATAACCTGATTACTGTTTCATCTTTTTTAAGTTTCGTGTGACTCAAGTACCCACAGGAGAAACTTTTTGCGTTGTAGAATCATTTAACAAAAATGATTGTAATTCAGACATAACCAACTACTACCAGTGCGGACCTGACACAACAAAGGATAGTATGATAATAGAACTTTTGATGGTACGATCCCTAAAACAGTTTTCTCTATCAATAAGATGAAATCATTTTAGATGATTTTAGAAGAACCACTTTTTGACACATTACGCACAAAGGAACAATTGGGTTATAGTGTTAACTGTTGCGGCACAAATACTTTCGGGATTACAGGATTCACAATAACTGTCGTCGCACAGGCCACTAAGAACTCTACAGACTATGTTGAAAAGCGTATTGAGATATTTGTGAAACAAGCTTCAGATATTTTAGCAGACATGTCGGAACAGTCTTTTGAAGACACGAAAAAAGATCTTATAAAGACAAAGCGCTGCAGTGATGTGGATTTATCGAACGAAGTTTCCAGAAACTGGACCGAGATTGCAGAGGAATTCTATATATTCGACAGAACAGAGAAAGAAATAGCAGAACTTGAGAATATCAAACTTAGTGACGTGCAACAGTGGTGGGAAACCCACACTCGTGGTGGTAATGAAGAGAATTTTAGGAAATTAAGTGTGCAAGTATGTGAGTGGCCATATGGAACTATTAAATTGATTTTTGTGAAGGTTGTAGGTTTCAAACATTCAGATAATTTCAGCGAAAAAGAAACCGAAAATAACTTGGTGACACAAGATGACAAGAATGAAGGTGGATAGTGTCTAAATTTCGTGATGCAAAGTGACTTCATTTAATTTTATTGCAGAAGTGAAATTGCAGCTGAACTTTATAGATTCGGTGAGGAATGAGACGGAAAATGAAGAAAAGGAACGGCTTTTCGTGGAAGATGTTCACACTTTTAAAGAAACTTTATTTTTATATCCTCTTGCTTGCGGATTTACTATGCACAACTAAGAGTGTCCATCTTGAAATATTTAGTGTGTCTTAAATTTTAGGTTAATTGGTTTTGTAGTTGTTCATATACTAATATATATATTATTATAGTGCGTACATTTGACTGTTTTCCAAAAATTTAGGCCCATAAAGGTAATAATAAGCGTGGATCTGCAATCCGTAGGTATGCAAGCATATTACTTAGCCCGCAATTTAATGGAACTTAAATAACAAAATTTTAAGATGACGTCATCATAGTTTTGGAAGGGATGAAGAAAGAAATTTTGAATTATGTTTTGTCGTGTTGATATTAATATTAATATTTGTTACTAATGCACGCTTATTACTTGTAAGATATATTAATTATATTAATTAAATAAATTTCACAAATTCTCGGACGCTTGTTTTAACATATTCTTGATCTGTCTCTTCTGTAGACGGACAGATCTGAAATTCTGTTTCATCAGTTCATCACTATTGAACATTCCAGATCTATTCTTTAGCACTTCCACCAAGTTTTATTCGTTAAAATGTTTAAGGATTATGGAAACCGGCAGTGAGGAAGCAGAGCAATCTAATCCCCTTGATGCTGGGTACCGACAATTCTTTTGCGTGTGGTAGTAACTTTCGACAATTATTTTTTAGATCTTTCTTAAGCAAATAGTGAATGTTCTAATTAGCTGTGTAGATACAAAGAAGAAAAATTAAAGAAATTTATTCTTAAAAAAAATTGCAGTTAGAACATGATGGATACCACCTAGTTTATGTGTTAAATAATTCCATTTTCAAAATGCAAACTGGAGAAGCGGAAAACGTTTATTCAAAAGGAATTGTAGAAGAAATAGTCGGCCATTAGATAATACCATTAGCCGCAACTTTTATTAATACATTTTCTTCGTAACGTTAATATTAAAAAAGTTAAATGTAGTTTCAGCCTTTGAGTTTTACGTCTTACACTTGAGAAGACTTCGTCAAAATTTTTCAGTTCCTAATTTTTCATGTTTTGCTGCCAATAACTTTGCTGATGTTAATGTTGTACCAAAAGTTATGAATAAAACTATAAAGAATTATATTATCTGCAAAAATTACCTTTAGAAATTTATTGTCAGATTCACGGTTGCGGAGGTAAATCAACACTCTGGACGAATGATAGTACCGCCAGTCCCGAAAACTCAGGTTTATATTCACGGCTTACCACCCTATGACACTCATAAAAAAATCGCTGCCTATCCAAAATGCGCGGTTGTCCCTTTTTTAACGCCGAATTTACTGGACTATTAAACATTTTGGAAGGTAGAATTCAGAAAATTATTATCAATTAAATCGTGGACTCGAAGCAGGAAGGGATATTTTATGCTTATTTTTTGACAAGTTTTTGCATTTTCCATCATTCGAACGGATTCCACCAATTTTAAAACACAATATTCCAGTTTGTAAACTATCATACTTTTTAAATTTAGTCGGATTCTTTGGGTTATCACTGTTATCAGTTATCAGTTATCACAGCACTGCAGTTGTTAACAATAAAACAACACTGTGAAGTGGATACCTTTCTTCTGTTCTAATAGCAAACACGGAATACTTACTCCTAAAATTGGTAAATTCCCATAAAAATAGAAGAAGCTTCAAAAAGCCGACACACAGGTTTCATTTTTGGGTCAATCTATTCTATAACTTTAGTGCATTAATTGAATTTGTGTCTATCTATAACAATAGTGTCATAAAGCAGCAGGATGGCCTGTGCGTGGGAAAGCAAAAAGCAATTATTGGAGGCTGACCGATGATTAGAACCAGCAGTTCGCGATGTACTTTAAAACGTTTGAATGACCAATTTAGAATCAATAAATCAGTCTGATAGTAAATAATAACGCAATAAAATATAGATCAGACTATATAAACTAGCTAAAGATAACTTTTAAAGATGTGTTATGTTTAGAAAAGGTTCTCTGATATTAATAAAATTTTAAATTATTGCAGTACTTGATGTGATGGTCCAAAGAAAAAGATAACTATAGACGGTGTTGTGGTCATATATCGACATTCGTGACATTCGATAACATCACCTGCTAATTCTCATGATACCCTTACCATGAAACCCACGACATGCGCAGACCTACTAAAGACTGATTGACCTTAGCTATGAATAAAACCCCCTTTGAAATGAAGTCCCGAAAAGGACAAACAGAGCTAAAATTGAAAAAGGTCTCAAATAAACCCTTGATGTCATCTGGTGAAAACAACGTGGAATTCGAAGTTTTACACACACCAGTTAAAAGTGACAGCGATAAGAAAGAATACAAGTTTATATGTAACTATGAACAACGCAGTTCGTTAAAATCAATACTTATACTTTTAGGGTAATACGTTTAAAAAATGGTTTAACTGCTTGCCTGATTTCTGATCAGAAACCAACACAAGATGTGGGATTGTCAAAGGGAAACCATGAAGATGAAAATGGTCACGAGTCGAGCGAAATGTGTGCGGATGAAAATCAAGAACAAAAATTGGTGGACTTAGTAACAAAACTGACCTAAATTAATATAGAATATTTTTAGGCTGCTGCAAGTTTGAGTATAGGTGTTGGCAGCTTCAGTGACCCAAAGAACATCCCTGGAATGGCACACTTTCTCGAACATATGGTTTTCATGGGCAGTGAAAAATTTCCCCAAGAAAATGATTTTAGTTCTTTTATTTCAGTAACAGGTGCTAAATAATGTTGTCCAAATCCAATTTTTTTGTTTTAGAAAAGAGGTGGATCAGATAATGCTTCTACAGACTGTGATGTTACAACTTTTTATTTTGAATGTTTAGAGAGAGACTTGATTACTGCGCTTGACAAATTTGCTCAGTTTTTTATCTCTCCCTTAATGAAAAAAGGGTCAATTGCTCGAGAACGTGAAGCCGTAGATTCTGGTAAATCTTACGTTTAATCCGCTCTTCTGTTCTTAAGTTATTTTATTTTTAAGAATTTCAAATGGTGTTACCAGCTGATGGTTATCGAAAAGAACAACTGCTTTTGAGCTTAGTTAAGACTGATAGTCCTGTAAATTTTTTTCCTTGGGGTAATCTGACTACTTTAAGAGATAATATTTCTGAAAACGAACTTTATTCTGGTGTGCACAAATTCAGAAAACGTCATTATTCAGCGCATCGAATGACTCTGGCAATTCAAGTAATCTCTTATATTATAGCTCTAATAATTTGGTAGTAAAGTCAGTTAATTTTGAACTCAGCATTCTACCAAACTTTGCATTTTTAACTGAAATTTTAGAGCACTGTTTATAAAGTTGGATTTATTTATTGTAGGGTAGACTTCCTCTTGATGTTTTACAGTTATATGTATTAGAATGTTTTAACAATGTACCATGCAATAATCTGCCACCTCGTGACTTCTCACTCTGTAAGAACATGTTCGATACCACACAATTTAGGAAGATATATTATATTCAACCAATTAATGATTTAATACAGGTACTTATGGAACTTCAATTGGTCTATCATATAAGTACTTCATGCATCTGGCTTTTGTAGCTGGATCTGGCCTGGGCTTTACCTCCCTTACTTGACAAATACAAAAGCAGCCCATCTGGATGTGTTTCATTTCTTATTGAGCATGAAGGAAAAGGCAGCTTACTATCATATTTAAAGAAAAAGTATTCTCAGATTTACTTGCTTCCATTTTTAAAACGAATGCTTATAGGGTATGGGTATTGGGTCTGACAGCCGGCACTGGTCAATCTGGAAGTGAATCTAATTCCATGTATGCAATTTTCGCTATGTACATGACTCTAACTAAAGAAGGCTTGGAACATTTATTTGAGGTCAGTATATGTTCATTAAGTTACGATCTACATGACTTCGTTGTATGTGCAGGTAATTGAAATTGTTTTTTCTTATATCAACATGTTAAGAAAAATTGGATCGCAAGAGCGTCTTTTCCAAGAAATGAAAACAATAACTGACACATCTTTTAAGTTTGCCGCTGAAGGAACGGCAGTTGAAGTTGTAAGCGAAATGTCAGAAAATATGCAACTTTATCCACCTGAGGATTACATTACAGGATCTAATCTGTTGTTTGATTATGATCCTGAATCTATTGAAATGGTACTAAATTGCTTAACACCAGATAAAATGAATATTAGTGTTCTGTGTAATAACAATAACTTACAACCTGGGCTAAATTTTGATAAAACTGAAAAGTGGTTTGGTACCAAATATTCAGAACAAGGTTAGCAAAGCGAGGCTTTAGACGTGTGTTGGGACAAATATTAATTGTTTTTTAAAAATTATTATTTAGTGTTTTTGGGGGTGGTACAGCACTTTTTATTATTAAAAACGACAACATACTGAATTTATTATTACATATTTATTATAGATATTCCCCAACAGTGGTTAAAAAAGTGGCGAGAAGCTTCACCTCTGAAGGAATTTGCTTTACCAACACCAAATATTTTTTTAACAGAAGATTTTACTATTCTTCAAGAAGATGAACAGCACCCAAAGTATCCTGAAAAGATTCTAAGCACGGATTTGGTGGAATTATGGTATAGAAAAGACCAAAAATTCAAACTGCCTATTGCATACTATAATTTTTATTTTATCAACCCAGTGGCTATCCAAACGCCAAAATCGTAAGTTATTCTTTATTTATCACATATCTAAATTAATAATAAGTTAAATTCTTCAATATTACGATTGCTTAAGTATAGTATAATGTGCCATCAAAAATACAGCGAACTAATGTTGGCTGTAGGTAAAGCTAACTGCATGGGTGAGAAAAATCTTGTTCTTTTGGAATTATGACAAAAAGCGATCATTAAAGGTTATGTTGACACTGATTTATGTAAACTTGAGGGCAGTAGTACCATATAAAGTAGATAGGCAACGCTAAGTCAATTCATTATTTTCGAAGCGCGAATAAACGCTGATTTAAGATCTTCAATACTCTGTTAATATTTCTTCGATGATATGAGTATGACATTACTATAGTAAACTATAATAGGCATATTGCTAACATTTTAGGGCAGCGTTGTTGGACATGTATATGGACCTATTGGATATTTTGTTGAGTGAAGAAGGTTATCCTGCGGAAGTAGCCCATTTATCTTATACATTTGATATCTACGACAAAGGACTTACAATGGGAGTAGCAGGGTACAATCAGAAGCTTCATGTAAGATGATTTTTTAAGACATCTGTAAGCCTCACATATTGTACGTAATTACTACTTTTTTAAAAACTATAATTTTTAAAAATAAAATTGATCTGCCCGAGATATGCACAAATACAGATGTACCTGCAGATAGTTTCCTTCAAATAATATAAAAAATTAGGCTAATTTATTATATGATATTAAATTTTGCCACAGCGCCCTTTAACTTTTGTCTTTAGTTTTGGCTTTGTGCTTGTGCAACATTTAATACCTATATCGTTTATATTTCCTGTGCTAATTCTGTTAAGACTGGAATTTTTCGAATGTGCTGAATTTTTTCTGATGATGGATGTTTTTGAATGTAAATGTTTTGTAGGTGTTAATTGAAATGATTACGAAGCATTTTTTAAACTTCAGTGATATTTTGACGCAAGAAATGTTCGACGCCATGAAAGATAAACTGATTAAAGGCTACTATAACTACCTGCTGGACCCCAGTGACTTAGCAGAGTAAGTGTGAAGCTTGTCTAGATTCCATTTTATGCATAGTTTTGTGCAGGGAGCTGAGATTGTACATACTGATAGATAACTATAAAACTTCGTTGGAAAAATATATGGTTGCATCTTCTATTACAATGGAAGATGTAAAAGCATTTTCACGTGAATTTGTAAACAACTTGTTTATTAAAGTTTTGGTACAGGGAAATGTTGCAAGAGACCACTCAATTATTGTAGTAAACAATCTTATTACGACACTGAAATGTCAACCATTACCTCCTGATACATATCCAAATGTAAATGTCTTCCTTTTTGTTTTATGACCTGATTACTGTTTCATCTTTTTTAAGTTTCGTGTGACTCAAGTACCCAAAGGAGAAACTTTTTGCGTTGTAGAATCATTTAACAAAAATGATTCTAATTCAGACATAACCAACTACTACCAGTGCGGACCTGACACAACAAAGGATAGTATGATAATAGAACTTTTGATGGTACAATCCCTAAAACAGTTTTCTCTATGAATAAGATGAAATCATTTTAGACGATTTTAGAAGAACCACTTTTTGACACATTACGCACAAAGGAACAATTGGGTTATAGTGTTAACTGTTGCGCCACAAATACTTTCGGGATTACAGGATTCACAATAACTGTCGTCGCACAGGCCACTAAGAACTCTACAGACTATGTTGAAAAGCGTATTGAGATATTTGTGAAACAAGCTTCAGATATTTTAGCAGACATGTCGGAACAGTCTTTTGAAGACACGAAAAAAGATCTTATAAAGACAAAGCGCTGCAGTGATGTGGACTTATCGAACGAATTTTCCAGAAACTGGACCGAGATTGCAGAAGAATTCTATATATTCGACAGAACAGAGAAAGAAATAGCAGAACTTGAGAATGTCAAACTTTGTGACGTGCAACAGTGGTGGGAAGCCCACACTCGTGGTGGTAATGAAGAGAATTTTCGGAAATTAAGTGTGCAAGTATGTGAGTAGCCAGATGGAACTATTAAATTGGTTTTTGTGAAGGTTGTAGGTTTCAAATGTTCAGATAATTCCAGCGAAGAAGAAACCGAAAATAATTTGGTAATACAGGATGACAAGAATGAAGGTGGATAGTGTCTAAACTTTCTTGATGCAAAATGACTTCATTTAATTTCAATTGCAGAAGTGAAATTGCAGCTGAACTTTATAGATTCGGGGAGGAATGGAGCGGAAAATGAAGAAAAGGAACGGCTTTTCGTGGAAGCTGTTGACACTTTTAAAGAAACTTTATTTTTATATCCTCTTGTTTGCGGATTTACTACGCACAACGGCACAACTAAAGAGTGCTCATCTTGAAATATATATGTGTTAAATTTTAAGCCAATTGGTTTTGTAGTTGTTCAGATACTAATATTATCTTGCATACATTTGACTGTTTTCAAAAAATTTAGGCTCATAAAGGTAACAATAAGGGCGGATCTACAATTCATAGGTATGAAAGCATATTATTTAGCTCGCAATTCATTAGAACTTAATTAACAAAATTTTGAGATGATGTCACCATCGTTTTGGAAGGAATGAAGAAAGAAATTTTGATTTTGTCGTGGTGATATTAATATTTGTTAATAATGCACACTGATTAGTTGTAAGATATATACTTAAAAAAAATAATCAAATAAATTTCACAAACTCTCGGACGCTTGTTTTAATATATTCTTGGTTAGTCTGATCTGCAGACGGACAGATCGAAAATTCTGTTTCATCACCATTGAACAGGATCTATTCTTTAGCACTCCAACCAACTTTTTCTCGTTAAAATGTTTTGGGATTATGGAAACTGGCAGTGAGAAGGCGGAGCAATCTAATACCCTCGCTGATGGGTACCGACAATACTTTTTTGTGTGGTTGTAACTTTCGAAAATTCGATCTTCCTCTAGCAAATAGCGCATGCTTTAATAAGTTGTGCAGACAAAAAGAAGAAAAATTAAAGAATTTCTAAAAAGTATAAAAATATATTTATAAAAAGGTACTACCAACGGAAGAGCTGTGAATTTTATTCACATTCTTAAAAAAACAGATTGCAGTTAGAACTGCACATGTTTGGGCAATTCTTTTTTAATAATAATAATAATACTAATAATAATATATTAACAAGAGAAAAATATTAAATATCTATTTATTTTTTTCTTAATAAAAACGTAAGAATAATCAATAATATTGCGTTTATAATGCACTTATTCCACTTTAGTGATGAGTTTGATGCCGCGGCTACAATAGTAGATTATTTTTAGAGTTTCCATTTATAAAATTTGAAGTGTCTTTTATTACATGCCTTCATACCTACTTAAATCAGTACACAGAGCACCAGAAATAAATAAATAAAAATATTTTATGTCCTTAAATATAAAATAATGTATCGGAATTGTCAATTTAAAAAATATACATATATGTTAATATTGTTAATGTTGACGTTTATTTGATTTTATTTTTTGGAAAAACTAGTGTTAGTGAATAGCTGGAAAATATCCGGATAAATATTTAGTTATTAAGGAAAATAGCCGGTTATTTAACAACACTATGCAAAATATTGATTCAAAATTGTTTAACACATATGAAAATTGTCGGATTAACTGTGAAATAAGTATTTTAGTTGGAGTAAATACTTCCAATCCCTTAAAAAATGAACTAGGTACAGTGTAGTGTACCATATCGCAAATGCAGCTGGATTTTTGCAACATTATAAATTTGGTGGTTAAATAAAAGGGTACAAACATGATACAAGAAGGTCTTCTTGTATGTACCATGGGTGCAACTATTTTTGAATTTATGTTTTCCGGCATATTCGACCCCATAGTCTCAAATCTAGTCAACCAATCAAACCTCTACTGCGCGTGAACGCCGGCACATTGACAGCATTTTGACAACTGACAACTATATGAAAACGAAAATCAAAACAAGACCTCAGAACTCAGAAAATCCAACTTTAAGCAAATTTCTAACCAGAACAACACAAATTCGCCTTGAAAATGAGTCGCAGAAAGAAAATAAAGGTGCGTACACGATTTACCTAAACTAATGTTTGCTCCGTGTTTAATTAACGACACAAACCCGTATTTCTCAAAAAGTGAGGTTATATTATTAAATATTAACAATTGTAGGTGGAAAATAAAGAACTAGACGATAAACTTAACCACGCAGACGAAGAACATGCAACAGAGCCCGCGGACAAACATAAGGGTGCTGCTGCTGACAAAAAAGTAAATTCTAGCGCCAGTTCTTCAAAAGCTACGAAGAAGGAATCGAAGAAAGAAGAAGTGAAAAAAGAAGAGGAAAAGAAAAAAGAACCCGACCCCGAGTCAGAATTGGATGATCCGGTTATTAAAGACTTGTTTTCGGGGTTGGAAGGCGCCGCGTTTCAGAGTCGGATGCCATTCGATAAAATGACATCGACTGAAGCGGCTTGTTTTCCTGACATAGCTCAAGCGCCATTGCAGTCTATTAAAGTGTATTTGAATGTACGGAATCGTATTTTGCAAATGTGGTTGGATAATCCAAAGCAGCAGCTTATTCTGGACGATGTAATGGAGAAGATGGAAGTTCCATACAATAGTGACGCGACATTAGTTAAACGCGCACACGCTTTTTTGGAGAGGAATGGATATATTAATTTCGGTGTTTTTAAAAGGCTGAAGCCCTTACCAGCAAAGAAATTTGGAAAAGTGATCGTAATAGGGGCTGGAATTGCTGGGTTAGCAGCTGCACAGCAATTGCAACAGTTCGGATTGGAAGTTATAGTTTTGGAAGCCCGCGATCGAGTTGGAGGGAGAATTGCAACATTCAGAAAGGGTAAAACGGTGCAAATGGAGATAACAAAAATAATTTGTTTGTTTTTAGGGAATTATATTGCTGATTTGGGGGCTATGGTGGTCACGGGGTTAGGTGGTAATCCTGTCACAACATTGAGTAAACAAATAGATATGGAATTACACCGCATTCGACAAAAATGTCCATTGTATCAATCTAGTGGTGTAACAGTTGATAAAGATAAGGATGAAATGGTGGAAAGAGAGTTTAATCGACTTTTGGAAGCTACATCTTATTTGTCACATCAGCTAGATTTTAACTATGCTGGTAATAAACCTGTGAGCTTAGGTCAAGCCTTAGAATGGGTGATTAAACTTCAAGAAAAACATGTTAGGGAGAAACAGATTCAACATTTAAAATCTGTTATAACATTACAAGAGAAATTAAAAACAAATCAAAAACTCCTGGTAGGGATTAAGGAGCATATGCTTGAAACTAATGCAAAAATCAAAGAACTATCAGGTATAGATAAAAGAGATGTTCAGCTAGAATTTGCTTATAGAAGTGCGGTCAGAGATTTGCATGCTTATGCCAAAAAGTGGGATCAACTGCAAGAACAAGCAAAGGAAATTGAAGGGAAGCTGAAGGACTTGGAAGCCTCCCCACCTAGGTAAACAACAGGTTTTTTTGCGTGTGATCCTAATTTCCTATATTTTTTTTTTAGTGATGTATACTTGTCATCAAAGGATCGCCAAATTCTGGACTGGCATTTCGCAAATTTGGAATTTGCAAATGCAACTCCCCTTTCCAATTTGTCGCTGAAGCACTGGGATCAGGATGACGATTTTGAATTTACAGGGAACCATCTAACAGGTAAGTGGTTTTAATGTAAAATGCAGTAACAAGGAGTAGAATCTCTGCAATAATTTGAAACTTTCTTTAAAAAGCTGGTGATAAGTTATTCATGAATCTGTATCTCTGTAGAGATAATCATGGTAATAATGTGAGAGTATAATGGGTTGTCTATGTTCTGGAATTTGCAGAACAAATTAGGAAAAAGGGAGCCAGTAAGAATTAATTTGGCGAATTTTTAGCGTCAAAGTAAACTAAAATCTAAAGTTTCGTGTTAATTTACATTTATGCATATTATCAAAAAATTACTTGTGTAGCACGACGTGCTTTATAGAAAGAAATTCCCACTCAGAGAAGTATTTTATGTATGAAAAATTTCATAAAGGAAAGTGTCGTTTGAAAACAGTAAAACTGCTATTTTGACACTCAATTTTAAGCTACGGACACATTGTAATGGGGTCTAATGGGTGAATGGCTAATTTCGTGTTTTCTCGAGGTGTGACAGTTCTTACAGTAAGTATGAAAATAAGTTTTCCGTTTGCATCTGTCTGTCCAAATAATCTCTGAAATAAGTGGACTTTTGTATAAAATTTTAGATATTTTGGGAAAATCGTATAGGTAGTAAAACGATAATTAAAATTTGTCTAATCATCCCCACCAATAATGTAACGTCATTTACTTTTGCAAAGTAAATCCTGCGTAAATTTTGTATGGTAACATACGTTTCATAGCGCTGGTTTATGAATCCGCCTTTGTACAACAATACAACATGTTATAATTTAAGTTAAGTATTGCAATTCCGAATGCTCAGAAATCTTACAAAATCTCTTAAATAAATCTTTTAAATTTATCGTAAATCGTTAATCAAAATTTATTTTAACAAAAATTGGTTATTCAAAGGTGAAAAATAAGAATCGTTATGCTTAATCGTCAATACAAAAAAAGTATCGTTATTTCTTGTACAAGGTGAAGAACACTGTTTTTAATTCCAAGAAGAATCATTATTTTAACTTTTATGTAACAATATAATATTTCAACAAAATAACTACTGATTTAATTTTGTTAAGCCAAACTTATTCGAAACATTTAAAAAATGAAAAAATAACCGGATATGTCTAATTCTGTTTGAGAAAAGTTTTGTGTAAATAACTTTAGAGATTTTTTTTCTTTATATATCTGATACACTTTGGGAAATTGTGAAGGGTTTTTTCCGTTACAAAGTTTACAGTTCTTTCGTTCCGGAAGTATAATCAATTAATCAAACAAATCCAGTCACAATGTAAGAAAGGTGATAAGAGGTGATGTCAACAAATTTGTTGGTGGGGATAATTAGAGAAATTTTGGTTAACGTTTTATTTACTATCGACATGATATTCTTAACATACATATACATATCTAAAATTTGATAATCGGTCAGGTAATTTCGCAGATTATTTGTCTAAAAAAAATCGACACAGACGACACACACATAGAGAGAAAGAAATATACAGACAGAAACAGGAGACCTTGGGGTTATGAAATGTCGAGAAAACATGAAAATAGTCATTTGCCGCATGGACTCTGTTACAATACTTCCATAGTTTACGTTCGAATTTATTTAATAAATATTTTTTATTTAAAATCAACTTATTCATCAATTTAAAATAAAACCGCCAGTGTTAATACACATTTTTCTGTATTGTCTAAATTTAAACACAAAGATATACACGAATTTACGAGATAAATAAAAATGAAAAATCAATAGTAGATTATTTGAAAAGAATGTGGAAAACGGTATGGAAAATGACAAAACTAGTGAAAGAAAAATAAAAAAAGAGGACAGAGAATAACACAAGATCAATAGTTATAAACTTAAAGAAACAAAATATCAAGAAAAATTTCAAGACATACTAAATACAAAATTAAAAGAAGCAGACAGACGCGGACTAGAAGAAAAATGAGACGAATTCGGAACTAGCTGGCTGAATGGAGCAAGAAAGAGTTGTGGCACTACAAAAATAATAAACAAAAAGATAAAAAGAACAGAATGCTGGATCGTAGAAATAAAACAAAGAATCAAAGAGCAAAAAGATGGTTTGAAAATATATATAAACACAAAGAGAAAGAAAGACGTAAAAAAGGGAAAACCACAATAAAGAAAGCAAAACAAGAAAAGCAAAAACTGTTTTTCGGAACCCTTGAGCAACTAAAACAAAAAGAGCGATATAATATATTTAACATAAAAGACAGGGATGGAAACATAATTACAGATGAAGAGAAAATAATTGACAGATGGCAACATTTCGAGAATGAAACACCAAAAAAGAGGAATTATCAGAAGCCCTACGAAAAGTAAAATTAGAAAAAGCACTTTGGTGTAAAAGTTTATTGCTGGTTTTTCAAAAGTATGCTGAAGATAAAAAGTTATGTGAATTAAACAGTTTCGTGTAGGGCAATAGAAAATTTTCTTATAAATGTGTTCGCAACAGTTTGGGTAATGTAACGAGCATTTCAAATTATTACCTTGGAACTGTTCCGGAAATTGTTTTTTGATAATGTGATCGTACATTTTGGTCGACATTATTACTTTTTAAGTTAATGATTTCATTTCGTAGAAATTTTCATTTGCAACATTGACTTAACGTACTCGTATATGGTTTATGAAAAAATAACCGTAAAATACGGTTTGACAGGTTTTAACCTTCACTTGTGAAAAAATCGCTGCAAATATTTCCAGTACATGCTAATTTTATCGATCTTGCCGCTGATAGTATTCGTAGTTTATTTTTCTCTTAGGCGTTACGCCGTTGTTCCAGATCTTTATTGTTATTAATATTATAAATGTCGTACCACAATAGTTATTGGGAGCTATGTATTATTGCGAAATTTAACTTTAAGCACCGTTCATTTTATCCACCGACATTCACAACGATCTAATTTTTCAGTTTCAGAAGTCGAAAAACGATTTAATTTCGTCGTGTTTACTTAAAATAGCTATTTGTATAAAAATAGTTGACTGCCTGAGAAAAACTTTTTTGGTTACTTCCTGTTGGTGAGCGCTAAAGGCACGCGAGTTACGCGCACCACTTTTATTACTACCGCCTTTAACTGTGACGTTTTCATAACGTTAAAAACAGATAATTTGTCGCGTTGTTGGTATTTTCTTCGTGGTATGCTGGGCAATCCGAACCGTCACGCATAATCGCAATGGTATTGTAAATAAGTTAAGTAATGTTTTATTGGCGTGTGGGTGGTGTTTTGAATTGAGGTCTGAGCGAAGGAAATTTGCAAATAAATTCATTTTTTGTTTGTGAGTGGTACATTGCCCCGAAGATCACAACTTTGAACAATATATTCTTGTAAAATGTTGTTTTCTCTCTTCAAGTGGATTATTGATGCCGTTATTAAAAATAGTGGCAATACTGGTCTTTAACTACCAGTGTTCGGATTGCGTAAGTGAGGATTACTTCGAGTTCCAGATTGAAAGAGAAGAACGAGATTTATTTACTGGCTGGAGCTCGTTCTTTCTAAACTATTTTGTTGTAATTCAAGTGCGGCGTAATGTACAGAAGTTATGCCCATCTATTTTGCTGCATCGAGTTTGAAATTACTTAAGAACGGAAGTGCTAATAACTGTTGTTCGGACTTTTTGCCATAGTGATCTCAGTGAATCACCAGTATCTCTGGTGTTGTACTGCTGGTATAATTTATTCCTTTAAAAATAATATTTTTTTCAACGTTTTTGGAAAAATGTTGCATTTTTTCTGTCTATCACAAGTGACAATTATTTCAGTTTCATTTAATTACCGTAATTAATATTTTGAAGATGCATTGACATTTTATAAAATCAGTGCAGTGGGTTTTTTCCCGCGTTTTATGACCCTCAGAATTGGAAAAAGTATGTCGCCGCTTCGGTTTGTCCGCCTGCCTGTCTGTCGTCTGTGCTGATTTTTATTAGACAGATAATTCCCGAAACTACTGGACTGATTGCGTCAATTTTAGATGTATTTTAGGAATATCGTGAACATGGTAAAATGCTGCTAAAACTTGTCTGATGACGTCACCTTCAAATTTTGCATGGTAAAAATTAGATTTTATAAAATAGCGTCTAGGTGGTTTATTTTGATCATTAATAAAAGTTCGTTTTTGTAGACCACTCTAATTTTTATTTACATTTTTTCTTTGTGAAAGTAGACTTGTTTAGTTCGAGGTGGACAATTTTGAAAAGGTAGCGATTGCCAACATCTGCAAACCTACCAAATTACGAGCTGAAATACTTAAAATCCAAACAATAGTGTAAAGTGAAAAAATAGGCTATGGTTCTTGTTGGAAATTCCATATCCAATCATCTTTAGCAGGTACCTGGGGTTGTGAGAGGTGGGGGTGTGTCCCACCCACCCCATTCAGTCGGTACCAGTACACACATTTATGTAGTCAAAGTTCTGGAATAAATCCCAAGTAAAACGGTCGCAGTGTTCACTTTGGTCCTTCGAAGTAATTCCTAATAATCACAAACAGTTCTTATTTCTTCGAAAATTCTGGTTAGCTAATTTTTCATATAAAATTGTTCTCTTATTAATTGTGTACTCACACATCAAAATACGACCATCTCTGCTTAATGATGTATTTTCTAAAGTAATTTGAAAATTATTTATTTTGATTTCTTTCCCCAGTGTAAGGTAAAAAATATCGGTTTCCGGTTCCGTATGTCTCTCGTCTGTCTGTTTTAACGATTTTGTTTCCTTACTGTGAAAATTTGGATGGAATACTTTAAGACTATCCTGTAGATGGTTAGACGCTGACCATTATTTGTTTGTCCCACCAACGATGTGACGACATCACCTCAATATTTTGCTGCGGAAATCGAATCAAAATTTTATAAGATAATAAATGTGTTTCTATATTAATTTGTAATTTATTAATCCATTCTATTTTGGACCTCAGGCATCTAGATTTATGGAAAATAATTTGAATTTGACAAGAACATTTGAAAATTTGTCTTTCAAAGTACAGATTTGATGACGTCATTTAAAAATTGTGCT